ATGTATATGAGTGTGGTGTGTGTGTGTATTTATAAAGTTAATAGCAATTAGGTCTTTATTTTGTTCAATTTAATACTAAATATATCATTGAATTATTTTAATTTTGTTTTAATAATTTTCAAGCTACCCTTCATATTTAATATTTTTTTGTATAAAATCATAGCTTTTTTAGAATAAAGAATTGTTTTGTATGTTAATTTACATTAATAAAAACGAGAATTGTTAAGTTTGGTCCTGAGTTGTCAATATTCGTCAAAAATTGCCCATTTTAATCAAAAATTATCAACATTTGTGAAAATTGGTCAACATTCGTTGAAACTTGGTCAGCATTCGTAAATATTAGTCAAGAATTATCGATTTTGATCATGTAAAATATCAATTATTGTCGAGAAAATATTATGATAGTATAATGATATTTCCAGAATAGGTGTATACAATTTGTATTTTATGTAAAAATCAATGTATGTATTTAAGTGAAATACAGCAAATTTTCAAATTAAATTAAAAATTTTGTCGAGAATTGTCTATTTTGGTTGAGATCTGTGTGTTTTGTAAAAATTTGTCTTTTTTGGTCGAGTGAATTGCGCATTTAAGTCCAAAATAGTCAATTTTTGCAATAACAATAGGTTTGATTAAAAGTTGTTTACTTTGGTACATAAGTATTTCAGATAAATTGTTGCCCATAAAAATTCTCTATATGCAGCATAAAATTCACTGCACCCGTTAATGCATTTGAATATACATATAAATATACATAAATGAACTTTATTAACCCTTAAAATAATAATAAATGATATCGCATTAAATTACGTTATAACAATATTTTCGCGTTATAAATATTTTGTTTTGTGTGAGAATTATGTTTGATTCAGAACAATGAATTTCAATTTGTTTTATGGATAATATAAATTTATTTGAACCGAATTGCAGAAATAATCAAAATCAATTTTAAATTGGTATTTCGAAATTTATCACTAATTCATTAATGTGAAAAAGTTTAATAAAGTGATGCACTCATAGGCTTCGATGATTATATCTTTAATCTAATATTTATATAGGTATGACTTTAATCTGTAATATATAAAGTAAAATAAAAAAGGCAGCATAATGTGCTCAAAATTAAACTTGGATTATCCATTTGGCTTCTAAAATATTCCGTTATGATACTATGAGCTGCTAGTGAAATATACAGTCGAACAATGAAACTGAATAAAAGAGCGTTGAAATGTATACGAAGTATGTATTTACAAAATGCAAATCGGGCATTTAAAAAGTTTTCATCTTGCGCAATTACCATAAAAACAACATTGAAAAAAAAACGTTTTGAAATATATATCGCCAAGGGAAACGGAACAAAACGTAAAAACAATAAAACAAGACGTATTTATTCCGAAGAGAATAATCGTTACTGCTTTTGTTATAGAATATTAATAAAAAGAATTCGCAATTGGAAAAATTTATTCTGAAATTGCAAAACTATAACATAATATTGATATTTCTAAAACTATTTTACCAATTAAAAATAGTTCCAGAAACTTGCTACTGTAAAAAAAAACTTAGAAGCCAATTAAACATGTTCACAAGAATGAGGACTTAGATTACCGAAAAAGTAGATAAAAAGCTTTATTGGCCGTTAGACACATAGTTTTGTGTCATCTTCAGTGGACTCTAGTTTGAAGGCACAGATAGAAATTATTATTTAAAACTAATATATAAGAAGTGGTATGGTATGAACTTACATGTAATTGTAATAATCCTAATTATTTCATAATTATAATTGTTCACAATACACAATGAAACTAATTCTTGTCACTTTAAATTGAACAATATATTCATTCTAAACTTTATATATTTTTCAATTTAAAGTCAACGTCAGTCAATGATGTGTTTTTGGTAAACCTTCGAAATATAAACAAAGTCTTGATGACGCAATCTCTGAATTTAGCTTTATTCCAGGTGGCGACAATCTTGCAGGTTATAAACTACAAGCAATTTTTCTGTATCCAATAATCTTGCATAAAATTTTCTTACTACTTCATCAAGCTTATATCTAACCAACAGATTATCTATGTTTTGTTACTAAATTACTCCCTAACTCATTTCAAAACTACTCATGGCGTTACAGTATTAACATCTCCGCATTTTCTTTTATACCTCGCGAGTAAAAACAAGATTGGCAATAAAGTAAAATATACCTAAACAAACACTCATTATTCTGAAGAAAAAGAAAACAAAATAAATTACTATGCCGTCATTTTTTACTTGACGTAGGACAATAGGGCTTTTAATGCTTCATTAAAACAGTCGCACCCAAAGGGCGGCCGGAGTAATTAGCGTCAAACGTAGTCATAATAAATGTTGGAAATTAAAAATGGCACTTCAAAGATCAAGCGTGAAATTTATTATAGGGAACCTGAAACCATTTCCATAAAAATTTACTATTAATGAAAGATAAATTTTTATATCACGATTACGATAAACAATATCTGATAGAAGATTTGTAATCTCAAATGAAAGTCTGATATAACTACTGCTTGATGTCAAGCTGACCAAGGTTGGTATCAATCTCGAAAATAGTCGATAGACGACGTTCTTAAAGAGAAATTACAGACTCAAATAATAAAGTAAATTATTTTTATATGATATATATGTTATAAAATTTATCTATCGCAATTTCTATTTCTCAAACCGATCTATATTAATGCTTATGCATTTAGCATTATAACTCGCGTTATTTAAGTAAAACTTTGATATTCTTACTTTTGAATAGCAATCGAAACTCATTCCAATATATCTTTCAAATGGCAATCCAATGGTTGTCCTTGTCTACATACGAAAATTTTATAAGAATTTATATAAAACTAATGATAAATTTTAATTCAATGCAATAATGTTAGAAAGACGGAATTTTCATTAGTTAACGCATTTTTCTAGAAAGTGCAATTAAAACCGATAATGTAGTTTCTTCAACCCGAAAAATTAATCAAATGCGAAATAAAGAATCGTTGCTAATTTTTGAAGTTATTAATTAGCAGATTCATTAAAATCGAATACGTCTAATTTCGTCTTGTGCCTTCGCTATTTACATACAATTAAAAAATAACCACCCTGCACAAAAGGAAATCAAAAGCCTTTCAATACAAGATTTTTTTTATAGTCGGTATTTTTCAGCAAATCATACTGTTTATAAATTACTGTTTTATAAATTGTATTGAGCGCTATTAGTTGAGATATTGATATCAGGCAATTCTTGATATAAGATGGATTTATTTTTAATAATAAAATAATAACAGGTCGTAGTGCCCTAGGGTAGGTCCGTGAGTTGAGTTAAATTCCAACTCAATTCAGGGAAGAATAGTGTGAAAAAATTTCCATTGCCATTCCACACCGCAGTGCCGGAATTATCTATTTTCAATTGGAAACATATTTTTGACCTATGTTTTCAAGTGAAAATGGACATAGCTGCTGCCCGATGTCAGGTTGTCTAGAGCGAAGTACGAACTCGCAATCACGTCCACAGTACAGAGTCTGTAAGCTTAACCATGGAAGACTCTTATTTATAATATTGAAAGCTATTAGAATGCAACCCCAAGTTGTTTTTTCAAGAAAAGGTTTGGGGACACAAACTCATAAGTAATATTGTGAAATTTATTATTTTAAAATAAGATGAACTAAAGATTTCCTATTACCATTCCACACCGCGTTGCCCGAAATGGGCTATTTAGAATTGGAAACATATTTTAGATCTATATTTTAAAGTGAAAATGGACATCGCTGCTGCACGGTGGTCCAGAGCGTGGTTCTACCTCGCGAAGATCCTGTGAGCTTACAACCATTACACCATGGAACATCCTTATTTTTAATGAGGAGAGCTATAAGATTGCAACCCCCAATTGGCTTAAAAAGATTTCTGGAGACACTCATAAGAAGACATGTTGTGCAATTTATTATTTTGGAAAAGTATTGAAGTACCCTTATTTTTAATATTGAGTGATATTAGAATGCAGCCTCCAATTGCCTTCTGAAAAACATTTTGGAGACACGCATGAGAAGATATGTTGTGCAATTTATTATTTGAAATAGTATAAAGTACACTTATTTTTATTATTGAGAGCTATTAGAATGCAACCCCCAATTGCCTTCTTAAGAAAAATTTTGGAGACACTCAAAAGAAGATATGTTGCGCAATTTATTATTTTAAAACAGTATCAACTAGATAAACGCGGTAATACAATCGCAAAGGATGGACTTTGCCCAAATCGGTTTAGAACCTTTGAGCAAAGGTTTGAAAAGTTAGCAATTTCACTAATATTATCCGAGGTAGAAATAGGTTTTAGAAACTCATGGTTGCAGAGCCAAAGCTCTTACCACAAATCCACGAACCAACCCTCAAAGAATAAATATGATAGTACTGCTTTGTAATAAGCTGGATGAGATAGGTACATTGGCCTTATATGTATTATAAGGTCTATTGGTGGTTACACTAATATCCGTACAAAATGCTTAAATAATTAAAATTGTTACTTTTTTCAACACTTTTTTACACCTTTACTACTTTTTTTACACCTTTACTACAAGCGTTAATATCTCTAAACAGACCATAGATAAACAAGTATAAAACAGACATGCGTTGGACTATGAGCCCTTTTTAACTAATGGTATCTCATATGAGGTAATAAAAACTAAAACGGGTATTACTGATTTGATTTGCATCATTATGAAGACTATGAGAACATGCAAAAGAACAATATTCGGGATATTGAAGATGGCGCAGTAGGAACGACGGCAAAATGCATTATTTGTGGAGACTGAGAAACCCTAGTCTAAATTCTACGTGTAACAAAAGGCTAAACCAACCCTGTCCAAATAAGCTGTTATGTATAATTACATTATATTTGCGACCACTCATTTCTTGCACCCACCCATCTTAAGCGCGTTTATATCAATTACCCTCGTCAATAACATTACCAAAGCGCATGCAATAAAAATTCTTCGCCAACCTGTATTACTCCTGCAAATCGCAATTACAGCAGCGCAGAAGAAAGCGGATCTCATCGTGCTGTCCACGTTCCCAATCATTGTCACTATTATATTATCATCCAAAATAACACACTACAATCACTTTCTAACACAACATGTAACAAATCATGTACATTTGTACAAAAATTCAGAAAACACGTGGTTTGTTCTATACCCTCTGCTCCGACCGAAACTGTACCGTGCGCCGGATGAAATCGTACTAACGTGGTGCGAGTGCAGAAGAAATGCTTTCCATCCGCCGGCAGCGCCGCGGCAGAAGCTGGTGAAATCTTTTGCTGGTCATGGAGCATGTAAATATAATGAGGATAATGGAAACGGAAAATTTATTAGATGTAAGATATTTATGTTTTAGATATATTTTATTTAATAGATTCTTGTTTATGTTATAAACTTAATAGATATACAGCCTTGTATATTTTAACTTTATTCATTTATAAAATTATAGCTTATTTTATATATATATATATATATATATATATATATTATATATATATATATATATATATTATATATATAAATATAAGTAAATATATATATAATATATATATATATATATATATATATATGTATATATAAAACAAAAATCTTATTAACATGCATTTATCCAGAAGATAAAATAAAAAGAAAACTGAGATATGTTTCTTAAAATAAATTTAATTGATTGATACGTTTTGAATCCATATTTGACTCTTCCTCAGTAAAACCAAAATTAGTTTTCCATTTTAGTCCAGTCATTATAGTAAGTTTACCTCAGAATTCAAACTACCCAGCTGTAAGTCAGTAAATACTTGTTTATTGACACCCTAAAGTTGTCTTGAAACCTACACATGGTATTGACACCTACCGAGTTTCTTACCTAATTTAAGCTTAAATGACTGGATGGATGCCTGTTAAGGGGGTGTCCATTAATCACGTGAGGTTTTTTGGGGAGGGGGAGTTTGACAAAAAATCACGGAATATCACTTATGAGATGGAAGGGTATAGTAAGATATCACGTGTATTTATTTTTCAGCTGATTTTTTTTAAAAAAAATCAAACATTAAAAAATAAATTCAAAAATAGTACAGTTTTTTCACGTAACTAAAAATACACGTGATGTTTGTTGAGGAGAGAAGGTAATTTTGAATATCACCATTGATCACCAAGGGAGAGGGGGGGGGTCCAAAAATCCTTAAAAACTCGCTCACGCGATTAATGGACGCCCCCTAAGAAGTTTTTTTGTTTGCTAAATTACTATCTAAGTCTAAATCTAAACTAAACTAATCTAAATCTAAACATATGCTAAATTACTATCATAAATAAATTCTATTATAATTAATTCTAACTAATTGCTATTAAAATTATTACAATTTCTGCTATAATTATTATTACAATGTGCTCAACTTAAACTTTGGAATGGTATCCTTATCAGTGAGTTTATATATTTAAATAAATGAGTCGTTCACCAATTTGCTATATTTTTCTCGACGTTTCAAGTCATTCTGAATCGTGTGAAACCAAAACTAGAAAAGTAGGTGAGTGGAGCGTAATAGTTGTCCTGTCATTACAGTAAACTTACCTCGGAATTCGAGATACCCAGCTGTAAGTCTGTAAGTAGTTGTCTCAAAACCTACATTCCGAGATTCTTACCAAATTTAAGCTTAACTGGACTATAAAGAATTTTGTCGATGTTACCTCAAAAACTGCTGGACCAAATTCAAAATTTTAATAGCCATTCGGAGAAAATCGAGAAAAACGAATTTTTTTTAAGAAACCTAACAAACATCTTCAATTGTTGGAAGCATAAGAATTGCGATTTAATTATCAAAAATTTATTGAAGTTAGGAATAACGAGTCGAGTCAAAATTTTATTTTATCGTCACAATTTTACAAATCAAAAGTTGCTAACACGTATCGCGAGTTTCATGCAACTTGCGTTAAAGTAAAATGCCACTTACACCTATTTTTGTCAAAAGAACAAGATCCACTTCTTTCTTTATCAATGATCTGCTCCATCTACCCTCATCATACTTCATTGTAATCTATTTTATATTGAGGTAGGACCGCGGTAAAACAGCCTGCTGCTTTACCGACATCGTATATGTCATTTTGACATAAGAGAATTCGCGTTTTTTAATATATCAATATAATTTTTAATTTTTCAAAATGTTTAGTTCAAAAGAAATTTACGTAGATCTTAAAGAAAAATATGATAAAGTACAAAAGCTCATTCTCGAGGACAGCAAACAAGATCCTGCAGCCGAGCCATATAAATCCAAGTATGCCGCAAAGGTTATACTTGAAGGGATGCAAACTCAATTGGATCAATTACAATTGAATGAAAATGATGATAAATATAAATTAGATACAATGTACTCGGTAGTTCTCCTAAACTTAGGTCTAATCTGTGTTGAAACAGAAGAATTATCCGCAGGCGAAAAATTCCTTACTTCTTGTGTGTCCAAACTAGAAGGCAATCACTTAAAAGATGATGCAATTTTAATGACCACTAATGCTTTAAACCAACTAGGAATTTTATGGTCCCTTCGCACAAAAGCTTCAAAATCTAAAATATACCTTGATAAAGCTGAACAATATTACTTAGATTATAAACAAACCGAGAGCAAACCCATCAACATTACAGATATATTCTCCTCCGACGCCACCACATCTGAAGAAGGCCTACTCTGTTTAGAGAAAACATACACATTAACTTTATACTACCTTGCACAAGTATACGGCACCTTAAATGAAGATTTAAAATCATCTCTGTACTGTCATGTGACCTTAAAACGACAACTGGAATTTAATGATTACGAATCTATTGACTGGGCACTAAATGCAGCAACTTTATCACAATATTTTACTGAAAAGAACGGTTTTAAACAAGCACGACATCACTTGGCAGCAGCATCTTGCATATTAGATAAATATGAATCCGTTTTAGAAAATCAAGTGACTGATGATGAGACAAAGGCAGCTAATTTAGAACAATTTAAACATAGATCTGCAGATGTAGCGAGATGTTGGTCTAAGTATGGATTATGTTTACTGTCTAACTCCTGGGAAAGATTAATGAATCATGCAGATGATCCAGAAGATTCACCGGCTTGCAACTTATCATCAGGTAATAAATGATATTTGTTGAGTTAAATAATTATATATATTATAATATATATTGTTTACAGATTTATCCGCACTGGTTTTGAAAGATGACAGCAATATAAGTAAACAATTACAAAACTTTACATTTGAAAATTTAGATTTAAGTCATTATGAGAAACAGATATCCTGTGATTTTGTTTTAACATTCGATGATGCTAAACTGGTGTTCTTAACAACTCAAAATTGGTTGAATTGTGCAAAAGAATATTATACATTGGAAAATTTAGCTTCAGAATATGCACAAATTATAATGGATTATTCACAATTATTTAAATACCTTGCACTATTTGAAGAAGATGAAGATCGACAATGTAAAATGCATAAGAGAAGAATAGATCAGATGGAAGAATTAGTGAAAAATCTCAATCCGCAATACTATTTGCAAGTTTGTCAACAATTTTGGCATGAACTAGCATTGGCATACTCCACTATATTAGACATTAAATTAGAGAAATTGAAAACTCAAGATAAACCTACTCCTCATGCTCTAATCAAAATTAATAGTTTAATCGACAAAAGTATTGGTCACTTCCAGAGTTTACTTGAATCCGTAAAGCATCCAATCAAAAAAGAATTTCCAGAAACATTCTCAGAAAACGTTGAACTATTTGCAGTCCCATCATTCTTTTTGGTGGCTAGATTATATAATAAATATATCACTCCAGATAAGTTAGCACAAATGGAAAATACAAAGAAGAGTTTAGAATACTATGAATTTGTAGTAAAATACTGTGAAAAACACCCTGAATGTGCAAAAAGACTATCCGTTGAATTAGAAGTTAGCAAGGAACTTGTGAATCTGTTGCCTTTGAAAATTCAGAAATTAGCGGGTGAAATTGTACATTAACTTTCTTTTGCTTCTCAATTGTAAAACAAACTAGTCATTCAGAAATGTTTTGAATAAATCTTGTAATAGTCAAATAATGCTATAGTTGTAATGTACAATGATTATGCAAGCTTATTATGATCTTTAACGACTTTGAAATAAAACCATATTTCGATAGTGTAGCCGCTTAATGAGTCTGATGATTTTTTATGATATATATAATTTAATCATGCTTATTTCTTTAAATAAATAAACTGTTATAGGAAGGCTAAATTCATATTATACACCAATACATAAGAAAATTCCATATTGGAAACTTATCAAGTAGCTCATTTTAATTATTAAAAGAAATACTTCTCAGTGAAAACATTGCCTTTGATAGAAATATTTACTTTATTTTCTGAAGGCGTTATATGTTTATATGTCTGATATTGCACATATTCGATATAAATAAACATGTTTGATGAAATAAGTAAACTAATTATTATTTACAATAATTACAGCAAACTATAAACATATTTATAGTTTCAGCAAATATGAAGATAATACCTAAACATCGACCATATTTTGGCATACCTATTGAATATCCTCTGTTTTATTATCTATAGCATCAGTTTGTATGTCATATTTCTTAGGTAGCAAATTATCTATAGTTTCAAGAATAGATTTGGTATCTAAATATCCTATTCCTTCATTTTCTACATTGGAAATACTTATGCCCAAAAATGTAGCAACAGTATTACAAGGAAAAACCGTATGAAGACATTTTTGTATATAAGGCAGCAAATCATAAGCATAACAAACACAGAAATTTGTGAAATTATCTTTTTCTGATGATGTCAAAATTTTGTGCTCTTTTTTATAGTAAGATAAAATCGATTCAGATACAACTATTAATGAGTTTTGGATATCAGTCGTAACTTTATCTACAAGAGATAAAGGAGTGCACAATCGAAATTCATTAAATATTGTAAGTAAACCGTTACAATATTCAGCTAAAGGATAAAAATCAAGCAAACTTTGTGGCGGAGTCAAGCCTTCTTGGCCTTTAGTTCTGGAGTTAGAGTAGTGTTTGTTTATCAATGTAAAATTTTCTAAATCATCTTTTAACTTTTTAGTTATTTGGGATAAAGAAATATAGAACTTTTTATAAATCGTTTTCAATATTATTGGGGCCATAAGACTACGAAAATCTGCTCCTACTCTGCTAAATGATAATCCAAAATACATACACTGCCCAATGAGAGAATCCAAAGACGATGTGGCTTTCTCAAGATCTTTTTCCATGATATAAATAATTTGTGTAATCTATAATAAGGGAAAATGTTATACTAATAATAAGACTACTTTTACATCAAAATAAAATTGCAGCTACTAATTACCTTTTTATGCAACCAGCCATAAAATATATATGATTTATTTATATTGACTTGATTATTATTGGGAAACGAGTATTGATCATCGTCATTAAATATAGCTTTGTATTGGGTTACTATATTAAATAAATGTATACGTGAAAGCTCAATAGTCTTGCTTAAGTGATGGGAAGCTGTAGAAATGTATAATTAAAACCAAATATAAAAAGAAGAAAGAAATATTTTGGTATACCATCATCTTTGGAGATATCACTGAGAAGATTAGTTAACCATTCTTCTCTGGCTTGTAAAAAGCGAATTCTTAATTCTGGCTCTGTAAATGCTTCCATTCTTCTCAAGTAACCCACAATTTGTAAGCATTTAGGTAAAGTTAAATCAGTACCTAATGACGATAATAACTTTTGAAGCATATGTTGCCACAACTTTTCCATATCTGACACAATACTCTATAAATGAGATAATGAATTAGTGTAAAACATCATTTTTGATCTTGATTGCAAAATACCTTCACAATTAATATGTGTCCATGTTTCATTCCTAATCGTTTAATATAAGCTGCCAGTTCTAAAGCTTCTTCAAATTGACCCTCACGAATACAAGTTTCCATCAAAGTCGGCAACTCTAGAATTTCTAATAATTCTGAACTATGATTCAAAGTAATTTGATTCAAGTATCGATCTGAATTAATATCACTAGATGTTGTCATGAAATTATCACATTTTGTAGCAAATTCTGGAATTTTTGACAATAACGAATCTAAGTTCTCTTTTGTACATTTAAACTCGTTATAAATTTCTCTCGAGCATTCTGCTGTTTGAATGAAGGTTTTATAATTGGATATTGCAAGTTCTTGAGTCTGTTGAATCAATAATTTTTTTTCTTCGGATAATCTAGGCTCTTCACGCTGTAGTTGATCAACTGTGCATGAGCCTAATTTATTTAGGTATGCAGTAAATTGTGCATTATTTTGCAATGAGTCTAAAATAGTAAAAGTATTATATGTTGAATAGTTAACAGTTAGTAAATGAATAAACATTAAAATAAATAATACAGATATAGAAGAAATGGAATATATAAAATACTTGGGCCTTATAATGCACGAAAAGCTAACATGGACAAAACATATAAATGAAATTAAAAAGAAGATAGCGGCATTAACAGAGGCTTTAAAAAGGATCCATTCTTTCAGGGAAAAAAATAAGATATTGATTTTAAAAGCGCATGTAATACCCATAATTTTATATGGAATAAGTACTTGGAGTCAAACAACTAAAGCTAACTCAAATGATATACAGAGAATAATTAACAAAGCCATAAAAATAATGTATAATTTTCCACACTTAACACCCACCAAATACTTACAAACAGAAACGAATATTCATTTACTAAACAACATAATAAAAATAGAAAAATGCAAATCAATACACAAAATGAAATATAACAGAATTAAAACAAGTACAACAATAGACACAAATAAAGATATACATGAACACTACACTAGACAACAAAACAATTTTCACATTGAACACGATAGAAAGAAGAAATTGAGAGGAAATGTCATATGGAGCGCTAGTAAAATATATAATGAGTTGCTAAACAATATTAAGATGACGAATGATGTCAACAAATTTAAAAAAAAAATAAAGAAATATTATAAGGAAATTGAAGATCAAATAGATATTTTAATTATAATAAATATTGTAGTATAATGAAATAGACAAATGATATGTATATATAAAATAAGAAAATTGTTTCATAATCTCTCATACCAGATACCCCTGTCTGACTTAGATATAAAAATAATATATAAATAAATAAATAAATAAAATAAATAAATAAATAAAATAAATAAATAAATAAAAAAGATAAATAAATAAATGAAAAAGAGTATTCACCTGGACACCCATGGGGAAATAATAACTTAAATACTTTTCCAGTCTCCATGATTGTAAATTTGATTTGAAGCAAGAAATTGTTCTATAAAAATTGCATGAGGATAAGTTATACTAATTCGAATATCCTTCAACAATATAATCCTCAAACATCTAATTGCACTATCTGTTTAAACATATTTTTATTTTATAAGCCTGAACTGTCATTCGACACGTCAACGTCGTGAATGATACAACATAACCTAATCTTGCACTGACAATATAATTTAATCTAGACTAAAATTAACTAGTGGGGTGGTACATCTAATTATGTTTGAATTAATATATAAATTTATATATTCAATTTCCACACAATAGGCCAATACTCTTCTTTTATCTATGAGGCCATTATTTACTGGTCGTCGAAGAACTGTCAAAGTTTGACGGTTAGGTCGGTGGCGACATCTAACACAGAACAATATGAACCCGGTAGTCACTACGTAGTTCCTCAAGATTTGGGAACAATTTAGCATAGAGGCGCTGCATGCAATTGCCTTAGAAACATATGAATCTTAGTGGATTCTTATTGGATTCCTTTATATGCAATTATATTCATATAAAGTCGCTTCGTAGTTCCTCATAAATTGGGAACGATTTTGCATAGAGGCGCTGCATGCTATCGCCGTATGAACTAAGGAGTATTAGTGGATTCCCATTGGATTCTTTTATACGTAAATATATATAATTATGGACCCGGTTGTGAAGGAATATCAATATATACATTTATATATCGTTTTATACGCTATTATATATATAGTTATGAACACAGGGTATTCTAATATTGTCTAGGACCTTAACTAAATTAAGTTATCGGGTTTTGTTCTGAGATAATAAACCGAACTGTCAAAAGGGTTCACTGTTAAATGCGAATTAACTGTCAAATACAATTTGCAATAAACATATTTATATTTGTACATTAGATAAATTATATATGTGTTTATATGCATACGTAACACCAGCCAGAGTTTGTAAATTGCCGTATGTGCATTAATTTTTATATACATTTAATGTTATGAAAAAGTTAATACATTATCACAATGTTACTCATACTTTTAGTGTTTTTCCTCTTCTTCATTATAACTAGATGTTTGTATATTATATTTAATATTCATTACTCCAAAACTTACAATGAGAGTCATTCACGAAAAGAGCCTGCAAAAACTTTGATATGCATTGGCTCAGGTGGACATACAACCGAAATGTTAATAATTGTGAAAAGTTTGAACCCCCAAAGTTATAGCCCAAGAATTTATGTAATGGCAAACACTGATACTACAAGTGAAACAAAAATCCACGAAGCAGAAAAGCAAATGCCACATTCTTCTAAGCAATATTCTATAATCAAAATAGCAAGAAGTCGAAAAGTTTTACAGAGCTATTTTACATCAATTTTTACTACAATATACTCCACGATTATGTGTGTTCCTATTCTGATAAAAACTAATCCTGATTTGATATTGTGTAATGGACCCGGTACTTGTGTGCCTTTATGTGTAATTGGTTTTTTGTGTAAAGTATTTTATCTGAACAATAATTTGAAAATTGTTTTTATTGAAAGTTTTTGTCGTGTAAAAAGTATTTCTTTGACTGGTAAAATCTTAAATGTTTTTGCTGACGACATTATAGTGCAATGGGAAGAGCTATTAAAGATTTGTAAACGAGCAAAATATTTTGGTAGATTAACATAATTTTATACTGAAAAAAAATAATGCAATGACCAACACCAAATATTAAATTTAAATTGTATTTATATATGTTATAATTATAAATAAAATATATTTATTTGATTTTACTGTACATATATTCTATTTTTGTATACATTTATAAAAAGTTTTATAAATAAAATTATTTACACCATTTTTTAATGAATTTTGCATTTGAATAATGAAAATATTACTATGAATGCAGCTGCTAAAGGTATAGCTGATGCTTTTGGCTTTTCAAATATCTTACAATACTATTAAAAATAATACAGAAAAAAATATGAATGTAGCCGATAAAGAGATAGCTGATGCTGTGCCGCCTCCTAGTCCTGGCACAAGAATATTTTCACCTGCGTTTCCATCAGGATTTACACCACCGGAAACTCTTATTCCATCACCTGTTGCAATTTGAAAATATACTTTAATTTGAATCACACTAAAGCTTTTATGTTGCAAGAAAAAAATTAAAACTAAAATTAAAATCAATAGTTAAGGCATATTTCATATTCATAATCAGCTTTGGCTAGTTATTTGTTTTTCATAATATAATATGTAATTATTGAAATCAAAATAATAGTTGAGATATATATATATATATATATATATATATATATATATATATATATATATTGAATGGTAGAATCTTGGATTTGTGTATATTTTGTAGAGTTTCGAACAAGAATCCAAAAGTAATATAAAAACAAGAAAAGTTTTTAATAAACAATTTCTTTATTTTATTTTTCTTTCTTGTTTTTTTTATTACATATATATTTTCTTATATATATATATATATATATATATATATATATATATATTGTAGAGTTTCGAACAATAATCCAAGTAATTTTTATATATTTAGATATATTGGATTTATATAAAAATCCAAATATATATATATATATATATATATATATATGGATTTATATATAATTTGGATTTTTGTTCGAAACTCTACAAAATATTCACAATTTTTTTTTTAACAGTTAATTACAAGAAAACGGCTCGGTAGATTTTTACCTAAAACTAATCAGTACCATTCCCAACTAATATCTTTGGAACTGTTTTTGATTTTTTAAAATCGGTTTCATAGGATGAGCTTAAATGTGGGCGAAAAGTTTAACACTTTTTTCAGATTACAAAGAAACGGCTTGGCAGATCGTCGCACAAAACTGACAAACGATAGTCCTCATCGAAATACATCAAATGACTTTTAAATTTCTGAAATCGGTTCAGGCGTTTTTGAGAAAATGTCGATGAAAAGTCTAATTTTGAAAAAAGCCAAAAAAAAGATACCAATTTTTGCAAACTTTGACGAATTTTTAAAGCTAAACGAGTTGTAGGACGGTAATATTTTAGTATGATCTAGAAGACTATGGTTTTTGGAGAAAACGTCGATTTATGGCAAAAAATCTGTTCACACACATACACACACACACACATACTTTTTCCAAATTTGGTCTCATTCGATTCAGAATGGCTTGAAACGTCGAGAAAACATAAAATTAGCAAATCGGATTTTTTGATGAAATCATAAACTTCTCCTTCGGAAAGTTAATAATTATGAATATGTAATATTCCATAATTATTAAAATGTATTTAATTTTTTTTCTTCCAAAGTATAATTAAATTAATTTAATATTATTAAAGAATCATGCTTATTTTCAAGTGCTAAGCATTTTTAAAGCCCGGATTATGAAAAAATAATCTATTAATTCGTTCAGATAAGATAGTTATAGCTTTTAGTGATAACCTTTTGAGCATGACTCTTCTATAGATAAATACTAAATATACAACTAATAATTATTTTTGTAATGAGTGTGTACAAATTATATTACCACTATTGCATAAAGGTTCTGAGCATTTTCGAAAATACGTAATATGAGACCAGTCCTCCACTTGCTCGTTCCCAAACTGTAACGGAAAATTATCACAGGTTTTGAAATTTGTTAATTATTAACATGCACGTATATAGACTTGTTTGCAGTTAGCACATTTCACAATCTCGCCAATGTCATTGTACTACTTTTGCGATCAAAATATCGTTGTCAGCAAAATTAATAAACATCTTTGAGTATATACTATAGAAATCTATTAATTTGATTTTTTGTAGAAATATGAATAAGACAATATGCATTCTATAACAAGCTAGTTAGTGGTATTAGATAGTGGTATTTTGCCCTAAGTCATCTTCCATAAATTTTCTGATACCAGAAATAATCGATTGATTCATAAAAGGTATGATTAACCTTTCAGTTAATTTTTAAATGATTATTTCAAAAACAAAATTTTTACTCTTCATAAAAAACTAGTCAATAGTATCAATCCATGGTTTTTTAAACAAAGTTTTGGCCGTTTTATTTTTTCAAATAACCAAAGATATCTATCTATCCATGGATTTTTAAACAACGTTTTTTCCGTTTTATTTTTATGAAATATTCAAAGACATCATGGATTTTTGGCCGTTTTATTATTCGAATTGATATTTCAAACAACATCTGTATTTGTATTAATTATATTGCGAATAAAAAGACCAGCCGAATTTGACCAAAAATTAATCACTACGATCTCCAAATAAAATTATTCTAACGGTTTATAGATCTGTTCAGGATTTTTGGAAGAAACGTTGACGACAAGTTTTGAGCTTCTCTGCTTTTATGAAAAAAAGGCATTACTGATCATGAATCATCGCAAATTTTAATTTTTGTTTTAAATCGGTTCAGCCGTTTTTGAGAAAACGTCGATGAAAGTCAAAATTTTGTTACACACACATCTTTTTCCCAATTTTAGTATCAAACTATTCAGAATGATTTGAAGTGTCGCAAACATATAAAATTAGCTAATCGAATTTTCTCACAAAAAAGTTCTTGTTCGGAAAGTTAACCCTTTCCACTCGGATGTCGCAACAGCAAAATACATATTAATCTCCCAATTTGTGAGTGGAAAAAGTTTTAATTTTAATTAATCTATTAATAATTAAATATTACATTACCGCAGGATTATCTTCACAACCTCTCAGGAACGTCGCGATTTCTCCTCTGGGTTCCTTAAATATAAAAGACATTTTTTTAAATATATTTGAAAAAAAAAATTTGATCATTTTAATACTAAAATTAAATTTAATTTTAACAATACATATTTTGGCAGATGCTTGACGAAAATTATTTATAAATGCAATTTTTGATCATTTCACATTTAAATGTGCAATACAATGTGGTTAACGTTTTATTTATACGATATCATATATAATTTCGCAAATGCATGCTTTTTTAATTTAATTGCAAATGCGATACTTGTATATATAATTATTGGTGGTGATTTATTTACAAATGCAATTTTTGGAAATTTTAAATTTTAATGCACAATTTTTTGCAGTTTGCATATCAATACAATCTGCAGATCTTTGTTTTTTTTAAATATATAAATAATAAAATAAAATTAATTTATTACCCTTTTTTCTTGTCTAATTATAGTACAATATTTATATTTGCAATTTGTAACAGCAGTACCACCAGCATGTTCTGGGTCCTTATAACAAGCATCTTCTTTATTATTTCCGACCA